AATTCTTTCCTGTTAGGGTGGTGAGGCACTGGAATGGGTTGCCCAAGGAAGTTGTGAATGCTCCATCCCTGGCAGTGTTCAAGGCCAGGCTGGATGAGGCCTTGGGTGACATGGTTTAGTGTGAGGTGTCCCTGCCCATGGCAGGAGGGTTGGAACTTGATGATCTTAAGGTCCTTTCGAACCCTAACTATTTTATGATTCTATGATTCTACGTTTATTACGGCACCAGATGCAAGGGGGACCGCTCCTCCTAACTTGAACACCGAGGGGTTAAGCAAGCAGATATTTATCATACACAAACATGCATATTTATTAGATTCTCGAGAGAGCGGCAGGGCTATTACAATTAGTTCTAGGAACTCATTATCATGAGTCTTCTCCTTTGGGCGCTTGCGCACTGCCCTCCGGTGGTCGTGGGGTCTTCAAGATGAAGTAAGCAGTCTTCCTCACGATGTACTTTTCCCCCTTGGCAGAGTTGGATTCCTCAGTAATCATAAAACTAGCTGAAACCAGCCGTATCTATAACTTTCTGATAGCTGACAAAGTTTTAGAACAGTATGACCTTTGCACAAAATTTATTGCAAGCAACACAGGATGGGCAGACAAGGAGTATCCAAAGCTAGTAGGTGTTTGGGAGGCACTGTCTCCAAACTAACTTATAGGTAGAAGGACGGGGATAAATAATTCCCTCATGTTAGTAGGGCTACTCAATTCTGTTATCACACCACAAACTTACAACACAAATGTTCTTCATCTTAGTCCTAAATTAAACTAAAAGTATTTTAACCCTATGTTTTTCAGGCACTTGCTTCCCTTATATCACAGGGGCTGTGTGACTATTGCTTAAGCGATCCAGTTAGTGGCTTCATTTCTCCACATCACTTCAGCCAGTGACCTGCTGTGGGAAGGAAAAGGCAGAGTTGAAGCCTTATTAGCCGGGTGTGCTGATAACTGCTGCAAGGCAAGCCGGAGGTTGCAGGTGATATTTCAAGGTCACCTCTGTAACTGCAGGGGAGAACCTTTGTAACAACCCTGATAATGCTGCAGGTACTGCTTTCTGTACCCACCCCTACCGGTGACTGAAGTCCATTGGGACAGGTTGCTGCAGAAGATGCTGGTTGGCAGGAGGTGGCTAGGCTTTTCTGCACTGCAGCTCAGAACAACCCCACCGCTCCAGCTGCATCACCACCATTCTTTTGGAGCATTTCTCCTTTTGCTGGCTTTCTGCCTAAGTCCAGGATAGAGTTCAGGATGTTGGTTTTCACCTCCAAAACTCTGCTCCCAGCACTGCTGTGAGCTATGTAGCTGCCAAGAGACCACTGCTGTACATCAGCAAGTCCTAATGGAGGGACCCTGGCTCCTCAGGAGACACACTCTGCACAGCCTGCCAGTACATCTTTTCTCATTTTCTCCTTAAGGCTGTCTCTGACTTCTGCTGACAGAACAAGTGATTTTCCTTCTCACATACCGCGCTGATAGTGTCCCTGCAATCGCCCCCAGGGAGCTTTCCCTGGCTCAGGTCTGCTGCTTGATGCCCAAGCTAATAAAGGGCATAGCCCACTGAAATAAGTGCAAATACTTCCCTTGACTTCAGTGGGCTTTGGAAAAAGCCTGTGATATCCCTGATGGAGAGGTTCCCCAGCAACCCATCTGAAGCTGCTGATGACAGTCCCACTGCCTGAACTGGAAAGCAGCGTGCACTCCAAGAGTGTTGTCTGCTCTTCTCTTGCTTGCTGTGCCCCTTCACACCTGGCTCTCACCTGCTGTAACCACTTGCAGGGGCAGCTTCATCCTGTCCCCATGAAGTGCAGGTGTTTGTGTGCCTGTGGCAGGAGAGTGTTGTATAGCACTGGGGGGGAGTAGAAGGAAAGCATGGGGCAAGAGTTGTCTCCCCAGTAAAGCTGTGCATTTGCATTAGCTGTGTAATTTAGGCAATTGATTCTAAATGTGCTAACCAGGTTTTCTTAGTGGATAGTGTGTGAGTGCACACTGCCCATCACAGTGGCCTCAAGCCTAACCTATAAATATCATAAATACTAAAACTGTTGTTTATATTAAACAAGGGATGAGCTATTGTTTCACAATGAGATGTTCAGAATTTGGCAGCCTTGGGGCTTGGATGACATCAGTTTTAACTTTCAAAATCAAACTGCCACCTTGTGGTACAGTGGGGGAGAAGTCTGCAGGAAATCGCACAGCAAAAATACAGATACGTAGTAAAAACTGGTCCCTTTGCCCCACGGATGACTTGCAGCATTTATGTATTCTTAAATATATTTTGATTGTAAGTGGGGAAAATTAATAGACATTCTTCTGTCATGCTTTAAAAAGTCAGTCTAACTTTCTGAGATTGTTTGCCAATGTAAAACATAAAACCTCATGCTTGTATATTGTACTGAAACCACTGGTGCGCTCATGTGAGTATGTTTTTCAAGATTAGATACAAATGAAGCTTACAGGGAAACACTAACTGTAAAGGTATCTATTAATTATTTCTTTTCTCTCTTTTAAGCTTATTAAAGTTAAAAAAAGAATTCAGTGAGTCAGACCAGGGCCATGCAAACTACTAAAGGTGAGCAAGTTGTAGCACTTCGTTAGGTCTGAGGTGCCATTCCTGTGCATGCTTTAGGAACATGATGGATGTAGGGTAATTTTAATCATCTTTCTCTTCCACTGGAGGCCAAGCCATCACAAATTACTTCACCTTCACTGTCAACCAGGAGCAAGTGGAATGGATCAGCAGATGTACAGTAATCTGTTAACAGCAACATGCTTGTGCATCTCAGCCTTCAAGCAGAAGACCAGCATGGGATGTACTGGCACGATCCTTTCAGCTAGATTGAATGTCCTTGTGTCATCTACTACTATTTATAAAGATGATACATGAAAAGCTAGTCCATTTCAACTCAAAAAGTGTACCTGAGGTGAACAATTGGTTGCAGCCACATATCAGTGCTTTCTGCATCCATGACTTTTCAGGAATATAGTGGTTTAAGAAAAAGGTGCAAGTAACAAGATGCCCGTGAGATCTGCAGTTCAAATCTTGTCTCTTGTGCTCACGCCAGACTAGCATTAGCACTTTTTTTTAAAGCATGAGTTGGAGTTACATTTGCTGAACACCGGTTCTAGGAGAGAGGTGGTGTGCATTTCCATGGGCAGGGGACCCACCCCATCCTCATAGGTCTGCTCGAGAAGCCTGGCCCTATGAACACACAGTTTACTCTGATTTCCAGTATCACCTGGCTCACTCTTCCCCATCAGCCCACTTGGCATCCAAACTCCCAGGAAGGATGAATATGAATATAAATTTCTTCTTAATGGCTGTGGTGGCACCTGCTTTGTTGGGTGTCCTGGGTTCAGCAGTAGCAGTCATTTTTCTCCTTCTTAGTAGCTGGTGCAGTGCTGTGGTTTTGACTTTCAGTCTGGGAACAGCACCGATAACACCGATGGTTTTAGTTGCTGCTCAGTAATGGTTACTCTGGCCAAGGACTTTCTGAGTCTCATGCTCTGCCAGGGAGGACGGGAAGCCAGCAGGAGGCAGAGACAGGACACCTGACCCGAACTAGCCAAAGGGGTATTCCATACCACAGCACGGCATGCCCAGGAGGTAAAACTGGGGGCAGTTGCCCAGAAGGGCTGGATCACTGCTTGGGTCAGGCTGGGTATCGGTCGGTGGGTGGTGAGCGGTTGTATTCTCTTCCCTTGTTGTTTCCCTTATCACTATTATCATTGATGGTAGCAGCAGTGGTTTGTGTTATACCTTAGTTACTGAACTGTTCTTATCTCAACCCGAGGGAGTTACATTCTTCTGATTCTCCTCCCCATCCCTCCAGGAGCCAGGGGAGAAAGAAAGGGGGGGAGTGAGTGAGCAGCTGCGTGGTTCTGAGATGCCAGCTGGGCTTAAATCACAACACTGGGTGATTAAAATGAAGGGTCGATAGTCTCCTTCTAGCTACTGTCTTATCCGGCAGCTCAGGTGGGTGCAGGTGTGAACCACTTGTACATGACACATGGCAGAAGCTCATGCTAGCCATGTGTGGATTTGCATCTTCACAGACTACTGTCAGCACAGGACAGGCAGCAAGGAAAGGGAGGGAGGGAGAAGTGTTCAGTGGGTGATGCAGTTATGAGAGAGAAGATCTCAGTTTTGATGAAGGGTGGGCAGAGGAAGGAGAAGACCCTATGGACCCATGCAGCGTCCTGTGCTTGCACCTAATTCATATGTAAGCCCCCTGCGGTGTGTGAGATCCTCCACCCCAACATGGCTGTACAGCTCTGCACACCACACACCCCCCCCCCCCCCATCCCAGCACTTCTTCCTAGGAGCACTGCTTGCAACCCCTGAGCAAACTAAGGAAATCCTGCTGCTCAGGGTATTAAGGCAACAAGGCTAGATCAACATGATGCTCCCATGGGGCTTTACTTGTGAGACCTGTGGGGGGGTCCTGTGGAGTCCTACCTGTTGGCTGGAGGAATGAAACCAGGGCTAGCATGTGGAATGCTGTCCTGGGGAAGGGTGGGGTACCTCCCATAGGAAATGTGCCTGGAGGATTTTTAGTTTCTTTTTTCTGAAATGCGCTAGTTAAAAGGCATCTGCAGGCAGAGCATCACATTCCATTGCAGTCAATAAATCAGCAATGGTACCTATGAAAGGCAATGTGAGTGCTTCTCCAGTGGAGAAAAAACACCCAGGGCTAATGCCTTTTAATGTAAGTGCATGGCAGGAGCAGAGGGTAACCATGTGGTTAATGAAGCTTAATGTGCTTAAAGCCCATGGAAATAACTCTTATTGTGGTGTTATTGCTAGTGTGTCTGTCCTCGCTTTCACAAAAAGAGTGTGGTGATATCTAAGAGTGGCATTTTGCTCCTCATATAAATAGAACAAGCAGATCAGCATGACTGAGTGATAAAATTACCTTCAGGTCTTTGGGAACTTCAGCATGCAACTGTGCTATAGGGACCTCAGTGTATCCCTCTTCACAGCACAAATACGTTTGGAAATGGATCTGGAGGAGACCTACAAGGAGGAAGAGAATACGGAGAGAAGACTTACTCGAGCTGAAGCTGCAAAGTTGGTGAAAAAGGCTTTTCTTGAAGCCCTGAAGTGCAATGACTTTGAAACACTAGAAGAGCTCTTGAGCCAAAAGAAAATAGACGTGGACACAGTGTTTGAAGTGGAAGATGAAAACCTGATTCTGGCATCCTACAAACAAGGTAAATGAGGCCGTATTCACCAGCCAGGAAGTAGGTGGGTTTGAGTGGTTTTTAAGAAACTGGCCTTTTCTCTCTCCTGAAGCTGCAGGGTAAGCTGATTCACAGGCAGTAATGTCTCGGTTCATACAGCTGCAGTCGCTGCAGCAGGGGAGCTTATCAGCTGTACCCACCAGATGTGGTGGATGGGAGGCCAGAGAGCAGCCGGAGCCTCTGTGCCACTGAGGCAGCTGCTGCAGCTCCAGGGGAGTCCAGAAAGAGGAGTCTTTTTCTGTTTGCTCACAGAGAACTCAGTTGCAAAGCCCAGAATAGACCCATGCGGGCCAGGCGTGGTATATTCATTTCTTCCATGTAGCCAGTCACATATACAGATGATTTAGAAATATAAAAATTCAGTGTCTTCCATTCTCAATTTACAGTAGTAGTACAGTGAGTTCTCCCTAGCTCAGGAGAGGCAATGAAACCCTGTGGACCCTGGATATTGCTGGATGGGAGGAGATTTATTTTTCAAAGTGACAGAAAATGATGATGTACTAATTTATCAAAACAGAAAAATCATCTGGAAAAACACAACCAGGAAAGGCATCTGTTCTGGAGTGTGGAAACCCCAAACCAGTTCTCAGCCAGACACTGGCTGAGTTTCCAAAAACTTACAACTTAAAGCAATAAACAAAGTTTGCTCTCTGCTAAAATCAACATACTTCATGACCTACTTGCTAGCATAGTAGAATGCAGTAATGATCAGCCTCTGCCAGAAGTTAATCATATGTGAAGATAAATGCCCCCAGTGCCAGCAGCACAGCAAATGCACTTCCTTGTCTGTGGCATAAAGAAAGGACAGCATCCCACCTCTTCTCATTTTCTGTGTTTGCCTCTAACTTAATGATGGCTCTTGTTCATTTGATTTCATTAGGATGAGGATGATGCAGTCACAATGTACTTCCCTTGGGGACTGTCTGAACTAAGCCACACAGTGATGAATATATCTTAAAGGACCTTTTCTTCTGTCCTCAGCAGGCTGAGATGAATTCTCATTGTGGTTTGAGACTACAGGATGAATGTATAGGTTTTAAATTGTAGATCGTTTGACTGTAATCATTAACCTGTCTCTTTTGGAGGAGTGTCTCCTTTCTCCAAAAAATAGAGTGGTAAATGCACCTTATGGCCTAAATCACAGCAGTATATTCACTTTGTCTGAAAGGCAGGAGGCACCATATCAAGTCTTGTGCAAATTTTTGTTCTGAATCCTAGGTAAGTTTGGATCACACTAGATAAGTGTGATATAAGAACGGAATTTCCTTGAGGAGGAAATGGGGAGAAAAATTAAGCCCATCTTCTCATCTTTCAGCCAGCCAGAGCTTTGCCGTAGCCCTTAAGCAACAACATGGACAAGAGATGCCATGGGTGACAGAGTGGCTTTGCTTCCTCTCTTCCAAAAAGTCTGGGAGCTCCCAAGGACACTGATCTTGCATGCATCATGTACCATAGCTTTTTTGTGTTTCTAACCAAAGAAACAGGCAAGCTGAATGAGCCCTCCCTTGGAGCCCATGTTTGCTTCCTGTTCAGTGCCTGGTCCCTGTCCCTGTAGGCTCAGAGATGTCTGCAGGTTTGGGCAGAGGACATAGGAGGTGCTCACTCAGCATGTCAGATCACAGCTCGCCTGCACCAGCAGAGGCAAAGGAAATAAATGGTGGTCTCTGGCAGGAATATTGTGGCTATATAAAGTGATAACTTGGCTTATGAGGACCACTTTCCTGGTGTTATGGCTAACATCTGGCCATAAATGTGAGGCCTAGCTCTATGAGGGATAAGCCAGCAATGGTCCACAGCTTGCCAGTAACAAGGGGGACTACGACATGTGAATTCAGATAGAGAGGTGGTTCAAGAAACTTGCTCTGCTATGTGCATAGATTCTGGGATGTAGCCCACCTATTTTGTGCCCAGTTTGGGGGCATATGTCAAAAAGGTTGTCTTACTGGAGCTGCAGTGTGAACTGCATAGTCAGTGTGTTGAGAGGGGGTTGAGTGGCTGTAGAGGAGGCTGTTCCCCTTCTTGGGCACTCAGGTGCCCCAGGACTGCCTGCTGTCGCTATTCAAAGCATGGGTTCCTTGGGGACTGAGTTTGGTAGTCCCCAAAATTCAGTCCTAAAGTGGACGCCATGGTCTGTAGACAGTTTCTCACCCCTCCAAGGAGAAATAGATAAACCCAGAAAATTTTATAGGCACATTCTAGCTAAGATGCAGCTGCTGTAGCTAAAAAAAAATAAAAAATAAAAAAGAAAGAAAATAAGACCGTTCAGATTTCTCCTGCCCTTCTGCACATTATTATTGTGTTTTGGGGTTTTTTTTTTAGCAAATTAATATAGTAATCACTTCTGAGACTGTCTCTGTGCAGTCATTAAGCATATAGTCCTCTTTTGGGAACAAATATATATTGGTTTTACACCTGTTTCTAAGTAAAAAGAAAAAGATAATTGTGACATTTTTGGAGCCAAATTTCACGCTGAAGTGTCGCTGCTTCTATTTGACTCTTCGACCTAATTTAAAACAGCATCCAAATTCCTCACTTCATGCTCTTCAGGGGCAGCAGCTGGCAGGAGGTCTGTGATACAGCTGCAGCCACATTGCTGGGGTCATCTGTGTGCAATACATCACTGGAGGTCTGAATCCAGCTCCTGATATGCAAGACTCTGTCTCCCACACAGAAACCATAGGATGAACTATATGTTGAGTCACTGGCCTAAGTAAATGATGCCTTCTTATTCCAACGCCATCTTTGTTCAGCTTTTGGCATGCTGAAGATCCCATTTCCTGCATATATTTTAGCTGATGGCATTTCAAATCCTCTAAGCATCTTTTTTTTAATCTTTTCAGTTTACACAGGTCACAAGAAAAACAAAAGTTTCTTTCAGAGTACATGTAGATGGGAATTACCCCCCAAAAGGCAAGCTATTTGGCACACATAGTTCAAGTGCTTAATGAAAATGAAGTTTTGCTTGAGACAACTTTGTGTGCACTATGCTGTAGCTGGTGAAATTACAGTAAGTTAAAGCAAAACTTCAACTCTTCCTTCCTCCTGAATTCTTCTCAGTAGGTGGATAGCCCAAAGTCAAGTCTGTGCCAAGGATGGTAACACACTTTTGCTTTGTACAGGGTACTGGCTGCCTAGCTACAAACTGAAAATATCTTGGGCAACTGGACTTCATCTAGCTGTCATGTATGGACATCTGGAGAGTCTTTTGGTTCTCCTCAATCACAAAGCTACAATCAACTGCCGGCCTAATGGAAAAGCTGCAATCCACATAGCATGTGAAATGGCAAATGTTGAGTGTCTCAAGATCCTTTGCAACCATGGAGCTAAGCTGAACTGCTTTTCAATGAGTGGGCTGGCACCCTTGCACTTCTGTACAACACGAACATCCATGCCCTGTGCCCAGCAGCTCATTTTGAGAGGTAAGGTAAAGCTCTGCAGCATCTCTCATGGCACGGCTAGAGATGGTGGGCATGATGTGTGGTTTCTCTTAGGAGCCAATTTGTCAAAGGACATGTGTAATTATCCTTTCTATGTGCAGCTGACCCATGTCCTCATCTTAGACTCCTTTTCTCTGTCTCTTTGATCAGAGGAAGTTTCTCCCATTCTAATTCCTAGCCCCATTTCTCCTTCCCTCTCCCTGGCCACCGGCCCTTAGTCCAGGATCAATTTCCCACTTCAGTGCCTCCAGCCCACTGCCTGGTCAGTCCCTCAACAGAAGAGCTCCTCTGAAACAGGGAGTTTCTATTTCTCTGTTTTATTCCTGTCTTCTTCATCTCAGTGAAAACTACTAAGATGTTTTCACACGAAAGTGTGCCCCTCTCCTCTTTTTTCTTGTTCAAATTTCCTTGATCTCAGTAAAATTATTCTAAACACTTGTTTTTCTTGAGACCTGGCCTGGAAAAACTGGATGCATTTTTTCATACTGTCTTTTCATGTGTCAGTAGCCAAAGTCCTCCATCTGTGCAGGGATGGGGGGGCGGGGGGGGTGTGGGGAAATAAAAGGTAAATATAGGTATGGTCATCCATAACAAATGAAACTATGAATACATGTAATTCCTTGATAAACATATTGGTGTCTTACACTATTTCCTTAATGCAAGGATGCTGACTCAGGGCACAGTAACAGTCATAAAAGGTACAGCAAAGTCAGGCAGTTCAAGTCTTGAGTTATAAAAAGAGAGATTTCCCTATTTATCACACTGTGCCATGGCAAATACAAATGGTTTTGTTTGGGGGTTTTTGCTACATATGTTGTTATTGAAGGCTTTTACTGAGATGCAGAGCCCCAAAGTATGCTTTGTGGGCAAGGCAATCTGCAGTCCCAGATGAATAGCCATGTCACTTTTCTTCTGCTCGAAAGTTACATATTATTTTGTTTGATAGAAAGGAAAATAAATGCTGCCAGTTGTTTTGTGCCCAAAGCAAACAGTCCTGACAGCAGGAGTTGAGTTTTCTACCATGGAAAGGCTTAAAAGTCAAATGTACTCTTATAAATTGTAGCATATGATGAATGCAAATGGAAGGATGTATGCTGTAGGCTTTCTCCACCCACTCATCAACAACAGAATAATAATACTTTACAAACCACCCTTCATCCCAAAGCACTCAATAAACTTGAATTCCCATAACAGCCACATATGGAGACTTCACACAACATGGGACCGGTCTGGAGCACAATGTGGCAGGGTGCACATTCACATGGCAGCACCACCCAACAGCCAAAGCAGGGGCTTGTTCAATGTCCCTGCAACAAAGTCTTCAAGACACATCTCCCACCCTGCCATGTCCATGCTGTGGTGTCACACTGGGTCAATTCAGGTAAATGCAGTTTAACCACTTCTGGTTTGAGCAACTCACCAGCCAAACAATACTGATCCCATGTTCGTTTACCATCTCCAAACTTAGATTGCCAATACTCTCATGGACAATTAACACCACTTAACACGCAACATGGTTTAACATCGTTAGTAATTCCATCCCAAAAGCAATTTCTGACTCCTCCTTCCTCCCAGTCTTTAGTCTTAGTGTAAGTTTGGGTGTGTGAAGGCTTTCATCAGCCTGAAGAGAAGAGGGCTGGCCATACAGTGAGCATTTGATTTTGCATGAGTACGTTACTAATGGTTTGCCAGGGCCCCAGGTTGAAGGAGCCCTTCTTCACCGTGTCACCTTCAGCACCCTCCACCTCGGAAGAAGCCCCTCACCCTCCTCTAGCCTTCTGGCCCGCTGCTGCTGTACACTGCCAATGGTCCTGCTTTGCCTGGGGAGTAGGCTCTCTCCAGCTTTACTTCTTTCCTAAAAAGCACTGTTCAGTGTTACAGGATTCCCCATCTCTGGCAGTGTTCAAGGACAGGATGGCGGGGGCTTTGAGCAACCTGGTCTAGTGGAAGGTGTCCCTGCCTGTGACAGAGGGGTTGGAACTGGATGAGCTTTAAGGTCCCTTCCAACCCAAACCGTTCTGTGACTCTATGATTATTCCTGCAGTTATTTGCATTTCTTAAGGGCAGAGGCGCGCAGCTGGCGGCGGCAGGCAGGGGGAGCGACGGCCGCGGCCGTGCCCCGCCGCAGTGCTCAGCAGATGGTGCTGTTGGCTCAGCGGCGGCAGCCGCTCGGCGCAGGCACCGCCGTCCCACCAGTGCCCCCTCCGAGCCGCTGGGAAACAGCAGCCAGACCAAAGACGGGGGTCTCGGCAATGGAGTTTTTACATCATCTACGGGTCTACCATAAAATGTCCTTTCTTCCAGGTGTGCAGTTACCGAGGTGCTTCAGGAAACAGCTCTGGAGCAGGAGTAAAGGTCTCCTTTTTCCTTCAGCTCTTAATTCGTAGGAAAAAACCCCAAACATTTTATGCAGAGATTTGGGCCTTCATGCTCCAAAATAGACTGCTCAGATAAGGTCTTCTGCCAGCTCTAGACCAAGCTCTCGCATTTGAAGCTGGATCCAAGAACCTGAAGTTTCTAAAGTTTTTCTGGAGACATAAGAAATGCAGAATCCATATCCCTAGCTATGTCCATTTCCATGTGTGTCTTTCCTGCCAGTTGCCCATCCTCACCTTCTCCTCAGGTAGCAGGACTCAAGCAGAGACACAGCTAAACCAGGATTTCATTGCCTTAATTTTCTCCCATCATCTTGCTTTTGCAGGAGCAAATGTGAACATAAAAACAAACAACCAAGATGAGGAGACTCCTCTACACATTGTTGCACGTTTGGGTGTCCCAGAGCTTGTGGCCTTTTACATGGAACAAGGAGCACAAATTGATTCTCTTAATGCCTACATGGAGACTCCCCTGGCCTGTGCCGCCTATTGGGCCCTTCACTATAAAGATCAGATATACAGCCCGGATCATCACCTAATCTGTCGGATGCTTTTAGACTATAAAGCTGAAGTGAACACTCGTGATGAGGATTTCAAATCACCACTCCACAAAGCTGCCTGGAACTGTGATCATGTCCTGCTGCATATGCTACTGGAGGCAGGAGCAGAAGCAAACATCATGGATGTCAATGGCTGTGCACCCCTACAGTATATCATAAAAGTGACATCTGTGCGGCCAGCTGCCCAGCCTGACATCTGCTACCAGCTGCTACTGAACCATGGCGCAGCTAGGATATATCCTCTGCAATTCCACAAGGTTAAGGATGGCTTTGAACAGTAGGGATATGGAGAGAGGTGATGTCTTCAACAGGAATGTGATGAGAGATCCAAACTTCAGGGTTTGGTGCTCTCTGGATCTGCTGGAGTCATGTAAACTTGGGGCCCAGAAAGGCCAAAACCTTGTGAAGCAGCCTGTTGTTAAGAGTGGTGTCATTTAACTGAAGTGAAATTATAGTTGCCAATTCCAAAACCCAGACCCAGATCCCATTTTTATTCCTAACCAGACTGACATCCCAAGCTCTAAATGCTGGTTCAACCCTAATTTTTCAGAGCTGATTCACTTTCTCATTTCAGAAAACCTGTATGTCTTTGTCAAACCCGGCTTCACACAGGCTTAACTCAGTTACACGAAATATGTATTTCATGGCCTCCACCAAAGGTTGGAGATCAGAATAGCTGATTCAGTTTGTCACTTCTGACCTTTAAAAATCTATTCAAATCTATTTCAGCAAAGCTTTGTCTTATTCCTAGGATATATCAGAAATTAAGGGGAAATGCTGGGCCTGGGCTCAGAGTTGATGGAAAAGATGAATAAATAAATAAATAAACTTCAGGATCCCTCCCAGAGCACTTCTAAACATCTGCAAAGCCCAAGGCACTGACAGAAGTAGCTGACAGTCTGATATCAGACAACTAAGCAAGCTTGCTGTTGTCAGGACTTATTGTCCATTTTCCAGTGCCCTGAGCAACATTTTGTATCTCCTCCGCTGCATATGTAGTTTTAACAAGCTGGGCAACCAGAAACCTTTGAATAAAACACCAGACTTTTGGGTTGTGCCCTCTTAAGTGCAGTATGAGCTGCCCTATCTGTAACAGAGCAATGCTTAGTCCCCTAGAGCTTGTTTGAGAACCAGGTCTGGGGTGTCCTCCTGCTGCCACCACCTTTCGCCTATTGCATGGAGTGGGTGTCCCCTCCAAACCACCATTTGCCCACCTGTAAAATATGCAGGATGATATTTATCCCAGAGAGATGTTCTGCAGTTTTGCTTGTGAAAGCCTGGTGACCACGTCAGACAAAACTGTGCATTGTATGGTGCGAAAATGCAAACTGATATTCCCTGAATGTGAGTGACAATACACTCGGTGTTTTTTCCCTACTGGGCTAAAGTTACTGGGCAGAGCAGTTGTTTCAGGGCCTTGTGTGGCTTGGAAGCCTTACTTCTGAGCTGTGTTATCTCCCAGTCTTCTTTTAAATTTTCCTGTAACAATGCATTTTTGATTCATATGATGGGATTTTTTCTGTTCCTGGGCTGCATGACCTGAAGCAAGGACTTTGTGCATGGCTTTGTCTGGTGTTGAGTCACTCAACCCAGCTATGAACAAGTTATCTCTGGATCTGGGTAATGAAGCACACAATGTCAGCAACCTATACTGCTCAGGAGACCTAAGTCAGTACTTCTGTATGGTGTTAAACCAGGGTTCACTGGGGTTTCTTGCTGTATTTACACTTAGTGTAGACAGGGCTTGTGTCGTTTGTATCTCCAACCTTATCTGCTTGCAATTCTTTGCCAGTGTCTGCCTCACTATGCAACTGCACAATGCAAGTATCCAGGCTAGCCCCTGCTCCTTGGTGGTACTCAGTCTCTATCCATCCTTCCTATAGGTGCTACAAGCCTGTCATTCCCACCCCAGAGCTGTGGAGGTTGTTGTCAATACCTACGAGCATATCAAATCAACATCGAAGTGGAAAGCAGCCATACCTGATGACGTCTTTGAGGTAAGCTCTTAAGTAGTTGCAACCAAGTAAAATCCAAGCTCGTTATTTGCATTCTCCATATTCCACCACAGAAAGGTGAGAATGCCTTTGAAAGACAAGAGCACCTCAGAGAGTTGAGGACTCGCTCATTTAATGCCACTCACTTGACATAAGCATATCACTCACTCACAAAGGATGTGAGAAATTTTCATTGCACCATTATTCTATGGACACCCTCTGTCAGCAGTGGTGCAGGGCTCAGCAGTCCCAGAGCTCAGCAAGTGCAAAGGTTCTGGCTGCCACTGGTCTTTCTTCTGATCTGTATATTTATATTTTTTCTTACATCAGCAAATGCTGTAGAAGTACCATGTTAGATGGGTATGACCATGTACCTTTAGGTTCTGTTGCATGGGTTGGGTTTCTGTAAGCAGGACTGGTTAGCAGCAAGTACAAGAGAGAATTTAAATGAAAAATAAGAGATCAAAGAGGAAAAGATGTTTGCTGTCAAAAGGCAAAACTGTGGGACAAACTTCACACTTTTACATAATTATCCCTTTAATTCAGAAATCCTCATAGTCCCAGTATTCCAGCTTAAACCTACTTTTTTATTCATACCAGGCTTTTCCGAGATTTTCAAATCAGTGCTGAAGTTACGTGAACCAATATCTCTGATACATTTCCAGTGACGTTTAGGGAACTCCATCCATATTATAACGCAGACTTATGTCACCTGAGGAACTATGAGGCTTTGGGGAGTCAGATTTATAAAAAATAAAAAAGACAAGACAAGAAAAGAAAAGAAATTCTGGGGAACACAAAATTGGAAGTTAAATGTCTTGTTTTCACCTTAATCACAACAACAACAACAACAACAATAATTTGTCTTCAGACAAAAAAATGAATCTGAAATATTGGAAAATTCCTATTTGGAAAAGTCCACAGTTGCTCGACTTCTTTGTTGAGATTTTCATTTTACTTGTCAAAGCTATTTGCTGAATTTGACACAAAATTAAAGAAAACTTTTTGTTGACAATAATCCATACTTTTTCATTCATAAGATGTATCAGAAAATATGTGTGACCAGATCTGTCAGGTAGCAAGATTATAAAATAAGATCAAGTCACATACAGCCACACATATTTACTGTTTGCTGCTTTGATTTCAACATCATTTGCAAGCATCTGCACTTTTCTCCTTGTGGGAATGCAATTTTATTTACTCTAAAAGGCTGCTGAGGCAATGAGTAACACCAAAGGTACTTTGACGTTCACAGCCCCATAAAACTCATCAGTAATGCTGGCATTACAGTGCCTCACTGCCTACAGTGAGGTTTAGAGGATTAACTCATCCACGGGCACTGACCCTGCGCATTCAGGTCAGCACTAACACCACGGAGGAACCCCCACCTCCAACTATTGGATATAAGACATACAAAACCTAAAGATTTCATTGTGGTCTTTAACTTAACACTAAATCTTTGAGGCAAGCATAAGAATTTTGTACAAGCTTTTGATTAAACCAAGTCCCTAGTGCTTGATGTACCTCCAAGCAGCAGGATGGTTGTGCTTTTTACCTTGTTCTGCCAAGGGCTGCATGTGGGCTGGGGAAAGGAAAACAGCATTATTGCCCTAAAACAAGCCTGTGTTCTTTTACAGCGGCACAAGGATTTCTATGATTCTCTGTTCACTGTGTGCAGCAACTCACCACGGTCACTCATGCATTTATGCAGATGTGCTATTCGGGCAATACTGTCAGAAAGGTGCCACAGAAGCGTTCCTTTGCTCTCCATCCCCCTGTCCATGAAGAAATACTTGCTGCTGGAACCAGAAGGAATCATCTACTGAGCTGCAGCAGAATGGGCACTGGCATCTCCCTTATTGGATCCATGTGCTTCTTTGGAGTGCTGGAGACCCAGGCACAAACCTGACTTTTGACAACCCTTCACTTTTGACAGTTGCAGGCCAGCCTGAAGCTGGGCTGGGGTTTACAGGCTCTCCTTGGAGCTGCTCTTTCCCAGCACTGAGGAATTGCAGCTGCAGGATGGTGGTTGTGCTGGGGAAGGCCCCTGCTCCAAACTAAAACAGAGACACATACTTCCATGCTTTATTCATCCTGGCTTAAATGTTGCTGCTGCTTCCTTTGGTATTTGTTCCACTGCCTGCTAGATAGCATTAGATTCAATCTGCACAACCTCTGATACTGTTTCACCATAATTAGAAAGAGTATTGTCAAAACATAGAGCATTTATTACAGTAATGGAAATGCTTCCCCAGAAAGACATGGGCAAACTGCTTTGAATCATGACCACAGACAGGATTTCAGTAATTTCCATATTTTCCTGTGGATTGACTCTCAACTCAATGTTAGTTCACTGTTCATTTCACCTGTCTGTATCTTATAAAGCTTTGTCATAATAACACCCTTTTTAATGGTAAGAATTTTTTCCATTATCAATCTTAGTATGTGAATAGAACTGAAATCTGCAGCACTGAAATTTCTGTATGTTGATATTCATGCTTGGGTAGCTTTTAGCAGATGCTGTCTGTTTCTGCTCTCACTGTGACGGATTATAAATTCATATCCTGGTGTCAAGAAACATAGGTAGAATGGACTTGCTCCTGCAATCTTCACAGTATCCATATATCCCTCAGGATGGTGTTGGACTGGATTTGGGAAGAACATGGACCTTCTCTTCAGTGATTTTAAAAGGAATCTAGCCTGCTAACATGGACTATACACCTCATTTTTGGGTAGCTAAGTGCAGGTGAGAGGAATACCAGCTTAATTGGAAGGTGTTAACAAGATGCAGATGTGTTGGCAGTGCTGTGACAGACCTGCCTGTCCCCCTCATTTGCAGCCCTGAAGGCTTTTGGACCTGCCAGTGCTGGTTTCTCTGCTCAGCAGGAAAATGCTCTCAACCAAGCTACTGTCTCCATTCCAGGAGGATGAAATACTGGGCAGTGGCAGTTCACACACCAAGTATCCCATATCAAAGGCAAGTGTGTGATCTGACCTACAGATAAACCCCATTCTTCTTCCTTCTTTTAGCCTGATACAATCATTCTGGGCTGTTCCACTTTTTTTAGACCCTGACAATTCAGGGCTCTGTTAAAAGGGAGGTGAGCCATGGCCACCATTGGGAGCCAGTAGCTCCTGACTTCTCATAGCATCTCTGGCTGTGAAGCTGACAGGCCTCCTCATTATTATTATCTCTTTCCAAGAGAGCCCACAGCACTTTAGGCTCTTCCCAACTGGACAAGAACAGCTAAGCTGCTCAGTATCTTTGTGTCTTACAAACTGGCATAACAACACTTGAAGAAATATGTAGATTATTTAGTGTTATAAATCACTTCTCCTTCTTTTCATCTCAGTTTTCATGAATCAAAGCTTGTACGCTGTGTTAGGAGAGGATCCAATGCACGGGTCGGTTTATGTCTAGCTAGGCAGCAATGGAGACTGCTATTTAACAGTTTCCAGTTCTAACAGAGAATTTCAAAGACAACACAGACCGTGAGAAAATGCTTTTTTTTTGTATGAATGAAGTTTTAATATAGGTCCTTTTATTTTACTAAACTGATGAAGGATTTCTATAGTGTTGCAAAGAGATCTCTATCAGAAACACTACAGTAGTTTACCAGGCAGAACAATCAGCATCCGGGGCTGGTTTTCTATGGAAAAATCCACCTGGGGCAGTTCCAGGTCGATGGGATTCACTGAATTCTGCACTGAGGAAAAACAGAGAATTTAGAAGAACAAAAAAAGCTTAGGTTATCTAAACCCACTGCTTTCCTAGGTGATGTAGCTATGTAAAGCACAAGGAAGATGAAGTTCAAACTGGTCAAGGCGAGAAAGTGTTGCTTTATGAACAATCTGACAATGAGGCGAGCTGGGTAGTCCAGAAGAGACAGATGGAGGTAGCTGATTTTATTTGGAACACATCCCCATGCTGGATGCTTCTGGAAGTGAAATTCTGCATCTGGAAGAGGGAGGTTTAAGGCAGAACAATAGCAGCATTTTCTGATCTGTCGTAGTCAGGACTCTCTTGCTGTGAGAGAAGAAAAAAGGCTGTCACCAGTGTTCCTAAATTCTCACTGATCCTCCCCCTCTGCAGTGAACACACTTAATTTTCATTCTGTGGGCACCCAGCCTCACTTCCAAGCTTTGTACCAAGCAGGTGCCAGATTATAGCCATTGTGGTATCTGACAGGGAGCACAGTGGGATCAAGCTGATTATAGTCATAGGAATTTGCAAGCTGTTAAAAACACTGGAGAACATCCCTATCACAGAAAAAAGACCTGATTGATGCACTTTAATTGCTTTTGTTGTTGGAGTTAGAAAGACCTACAGCAAGCAAACCTTATTATTTTTACCTTTTAGCATTTCTTTCTCTTACTATACCCTATTCCCACACACTGGATGAAATTGCTCACATAAGGCATGGTACCTAATAATAAGCTCATCATTTATTAAATTTATGGAGTTCAGTCTTATTCTGACTTAGTGCAGATGCCTTGAAACTTCATACTGTCATATAACTCCTGATTATGCTTTTATGTATTCAAAGCTGCAACAGATTGGGTAGCTGCAGGTGGAAATAATTAGAGACTGGGATGTCACCCCTACACTGCACGTTTGAACCTAGTCATGACCTAAAATGACAGAACATTGTTTTCAGGTTTGTTTGGTGTCTTCTGTAAAATGAGCTGCTTTTTGCTATTCGGCTTTTTAGTGGAGATGTAGCCATATTTGAGACATTCCCACTGCATTTCATAGATGATTAGAATATTTAAAGCACAGATGGGTACAAGGAGTTAACTAGTCATAAGTCCCCTTAATGATTTCTCCATACACAGCAATCAGATTATGGTTTTTTGTCCTTGTGCTTTTTAAGAGGTGTATATGGAGAGGTGTTCTTAAGCTACATGCATTCTTGACAAAAGAAGTTATCACATTGTTCTGGGTTCAGCAGTAGCAGTCATTTTCTCCTTCTTAGTAGCTGGTGCAGTGCTGTGGTTTTGACTTTCAGCCTGGGAACAATGCTGGTAACACCAGTGTTTCTAGTTGTTGCTCAGTAATGTTTACTCTGACCAAGGACTTTCTGAAGTCTCATGCTCTGGCAGTGAGGAGGGGAAGCCAGGAGGAAGCGGAGACAGGGCACCTGACCCAAACTAGCCAAAGGGGTATTCCATACCACAGCACGGCATGCCCAGTATATAAACTGGGGGCAATTACTCAGAAGGGTTGGATCGCTGCTCAGGTCAGGCTGGGTATCAGTCAGCAAGTGGTGAGCAGTTGTGAAGAATACAACCCCATCCTTCTGGGAGCTGGGGGAATGTCTCCTTCATAGGTTGACCACCTGAGAAGGGGAAAAAAAGATGTGTAATTGCTAAACACTTCCATTCTATACCTCCCGAAGTATAGAGGTGATAACCACACTGGAAACGCAAGCCAGATCAGTTTCATGATCAATGAGTCTGTTGTATTACAAGTCATTACCATAAAGTACAGCAAAACAAGAACCTTAGCCCAAGCCCCCCGCAGCTGATAAACACCAAAACAGCACATACTGGCTGTAAGTAAGGTACGACATGCTGAAACTGTGAGATCAAGAGCAACAACTTTGAGAGCCAATAAATCAGCATTGTGATGACTATTAATCCGAAACAATGAATGTTTATCACAAGTACAATTAGACACACTCCGGTCAGATCTGTTGTTATCTCAACACTTTGTGCCCCACGTTGGGCTCCACAAAGAACTGTTGTGGTTTAAGCCCAGCTGGCAACCCAGAACCACGCAGCCGCTCACTCACACCCTCCCCTTCCTCCCCCCGCTCCTGGAGGGATGGGGAGGAGAATCGAAAGAATGTAACTCCCATGGGTTGAGATAAGAGCAGTCCAGTAACTAAGGTATAGCACAAATCACTGCTGCTACCACCAATAATAATAATGATAAGTGAAGTAACAAGGGAAGAGAATACAACCACTCACCACCTGCCGACCGATACCCAGCCCAACCCTAGGAGTGATCTCGCCCTTCCGGGTAACTGTCCCCAGTTTATATACTGGGCATGACATGCTGTGTTATGGAATACCCCTTTGGCTAGTTTGGGTCAGGTGCCCTGTCTCTGCTTCCTCCCAGCTTCCCCTCCTCCCTGGCAGAACATGAGACTCAGAAAGTCCTTGGTCAGAGTAAACATTACGGAGCAACAACTAAAACCATCGGTGTTATCAGAGCTGTTCCCAGACCAAAAGTCAAAACCACAGCACTGCACCAGCTACTAAGAAGGAGAAAAATGACTGCTACTGCTGAACCCAGGACACACATCTATGATGGTAGTAATACTCTGCATGTGTCTGTGGGCAAGTGCAGAGCCATAATTCAACTGTTCATGGAGGTACAGACATCTGCTTTATAAAGTGCTTTTGCAATAATTTTGAACTTAGCCCCTGATGTCTGATTGGATCCTGCTTGACTCAAAACTCCCGTAATTTATCCAGGGAGAATATGTAGGTGAAACTGAAATCTAACTGCGTTCAGGACTGTATTTTCCTGCAAAACCTTTAAACTTCTATTCATATTTGGTCATCCTTTAGATACCAGGACAGTGAGCCTAAAGCAACACAGTGGGTTCAGCTCTCCAAGACTTCAGCTTGTCCTGCCAGCCTAATGCCAAGAAGAGGAGCCAGAGACTGCAAAGCATCAACTCATTAGAACAGGAAACAGTAAACGTTGACTAGTTCCTGCTCAGCCTCCATCCAACACGTTTTAAAACCACCATTAGTCCCTGAGACAGGATAGTTTCCCAGTGCTGCTGGTGGCAGCAGGGGAAGGTTATATTCTCAGCTGCCTCCTACTTTGTGCAGTAGTATCAAGACCATAAGGGTTGCACAAGGCATACAGATGTGATAAGTAGGTCTCTCCACAAAGATAGCTTTGAATAAGTATTGACAACTGTCCACATACAGACTGGTCCTAAAGTGTGATACACGTTTTGTTAATGTGCTAATTACTGCTACTTTAAGTTCATATTCAATAGTCAATGTCACTCACCTCTATGCCTAAACCAAGCTCCCTGATGAGTGTCCATTGCTTATGCAAAGGGCAGCAATACTCAGCCTCAGGATCTTCAGCACAAGGGGATTCTGGTTCCACATTCCTTGTTTTTCTGATTGATATTCATTAAGATAAATTTACATTATAAGATCTGGGTTCAAAGCCCAGACCAAACTACAAGACCTTGGGACCACCTGGCACAGGCAGTCTGCCTTAGTCTTTCTGCCCTTAGCATTTGAAAAGCCAGCAGAGGAAGTAGATGGTTTTCCTGGACTCTTTTCATGCTGTTGCATGGCATTATCCCTAGGGCTGCAGGGAGGATGATGAGGCTACATCATCTTGTAAGTTTTGGACCAAAACTCTGGACTACATGAAAGCAGAATGGTGTGGAAATGCCCATTTTGATTCTGGCAGCTAGACGTGTACACATTGGCATGAGTGTGCATCACTCTGTGTGTGTGCATGTGTGAGACTTGCAAAGAGATCCCAGTCAAAATCTTTGATCTGGTTTCAGCTGGAGTTTTTCAACCCAAATCAGCCTATCAGAGCTGGAACTAAGAAATTCCTGTAAGTGTTTTGGCATCAACAAACTTTTACTTATTCAAAACCACTTCCCACCATGAAAAAACATTTTTCTTCTCTCCATGGGACAGTATCGTACAGCCTATACACCAGTTTTGACAGAATCAAGTAACTGCTGTGATCATGAATTTATATCAATCTCCCAGGCTGAGCAACATTGACAGCCATTTTCATTAAACGTTAGGGGTAGCGGAAAAGGTCTGGTGTGCCATGAAAGGTGGCAGCTTTACTTTTAGCTGCAAGCACTGTTGGAGCAATTAAAATGATCACAGGGCCCCAGCTCATTCATATATGAGGACTACCCTTTGAAAAAACACTAGTGCTTTTGGCAGCAGATTTTGCGCATGGGGCAAGTATCTTTAAATTAAACATGCAAAAGTTCAGTCTTTAAGACTGAAAGGAAGATTAAAACAGTCTGGGATGGCCTATGCTATTATATACCTTTACTAAACTTAACCCAAAGAGGCATGACAGCTTTTTGCTGCACTGTAAGGT